GCGTCGCTGGAGGGGGAGACCTGGTTCTCGCTTAGTTACTGGTACAGAATCGGGCTTAAGTGTCGTTTTCTTGGCGGTTTTTTGGATGGACGGTCCTGGTGATCCCGGCTGGGTTCGGGGTTGACTGTTGAAAGATTGGGTTCAGTGTAGCCATGTCGGGCTCGGCCCCCGAGGAGCCTCAGCCCCGTGTCCCGCAGAGCACAGCCGGGGCTCCCCATCCCGCTCCGGCTGCTGCCGGGCCCGGAGCCCCAGGTGACGTTTCCCTTGGGGAGCAGAACCTCAGCTTCACCACCACGGACGTGAGCCTGGTGGAGATGATGGAAATTGATTATAGCCAGCTGCAGCACATACTTTACTCACACACGGAGGCACAAGGTAGCGAAGGTGAAGTGGAAGCCAGGCTCAGTTCTTTCTCCTTGCCTGGTAATTCCACAGACTCCTCTCTGCACCAGACCCCACTGAACACCGGGCAGGAGGAATGTTTGTCAAACAGCTCTGGGAGCCAGTTGGTTTACTCAGTTCTCTGTCAGTCGGGATTACCTTCTGACAGCAGTTTAAGTTCGAACCCGCGTTTGAGCGGTGCTGACTTCCAGGAGCTCAGAACGATGTTACTTAGCGAGCCTAACCTCCCTTTGAACCAAACAGATAAAACGCCTAGCTCTGTAGAAGTCCCAGGACACAGTTCAGTAAAAGTTAAATGCGGTGAAAACCGTGTTGGGACGAATAAAGGAAATGTACTTGCTGAAAATTTGGCGCTGGCGCCAGAGCCTAGACCTAAATCTGCAGTCAGAGTTCGGTTGGAAGACAGATTCAACAGCATCCAGACAGAAAACCCCAGATGTCAAGAACCCCAAGAATCTGCAGTAGCTCTTAACAAGTGTGTTGCAATTCATTTTAGTTTGTGTTGTTAAACTGGGTATCATCTTGTAGTGCGAAACTAATTCTTCTAAACAAAACCTGAGAAGGGTACTTTTTTAACACGTGAGGATGGCGAGTTGGGCTTTTTTTAAACTGCCAGTCAAATGTGGCTGCAGCTCCACTGACCCCAGGTTCAGCCCCTCTGTACATTGACCAAAGGGTAGTTCCAAAATTAGTTACTTTATAACATTATTCTTGATAACAGCGTGGAAATAAAGGTGAGAGGAGATGACCTAGTTTTAACTTGCAACTTGCTAGAAGCAAAGTAGGGTTTTGATTGTAATAAAATATTAAGAGCAACTGATTAATGTAATGCAGAGACCTGACTAGGGGGAAGACATGGAGGAAAATTACTGGTTTACAGTCTGGCCCTGTAACTGTGTTTGTGTGCTGATAATACATTTTATAGAGCCATAAAGCTGTGTTGTCACTGTACAGAATAAAATACCTTCCCTGCTGATGTTTTTTTTTCCCCTTTTGCCCATGAAGTTGGCAATAACGATGATTTCTATTTACAGTAAATGAAAGTGGTTTCTTGGTGATAGTTGCTAGATGTGTAGCTGTGAATTTCTTAACACTCATTTTCAAGTAGTCAGCTTGGAATGTGTTCTATGTTGGTTTTTTTATTTGTTTGTTTTTGGTTTTTTTTAAGTTTAGTAACATTGATTAGACAGCCAGCGGAACTCATAGGTGTTCCTCGTCACCAACAAGAAAACAAGTGTGCTGCTGTAGGGCAGAACAAGACTGCTCCCGCCCCGCCTTCCTTACAGTTCACATACCCGTTATTTACTATGAGTGCATGTCCTACTGGAAGTGCTAATCCTTCACAAGTACAGGTAGATAAATGCATTCCATGCTGGTTGTGCTCTGCTCATTTCAAATGCTGATAATTTTAACCACTTAGGTGCAATATAGTTCTAGAGGTTTGTGTTAAAGCGCAACTTGGTTTGAATAGGGATGATCAGAATGAACTGTAATGCAATTCGTGTATTCTTGTGTTAATCTTTAAGACCATCAAAAATACTTACTCAGATCAATTTTGTGGCATTTGTAATAACGTGGTAATGATCAGTAGGCCATTAGATTTCTTACTAGAAGGACTTTTTTTTGTGTCAGTTTATCAGTGTATAATCAGACATTGTGCCATTTTCTGTGGTTCCTTTTTTAGCCCGTTCCTTTTGATGAACAAAGATATATTTTCCCCAAACTTGCAGTAACCCTTGAAGCGAGACCAGTAACATGGCACTTGGAAATGTCAGAGCTGTCCCAGAAGGATTCATCAGTCTGGCACAATCCCATGGTTGTGTGCAGAAGTAGTTGGGATTTATTCCAATACAAAACATAGAATCATGGGACTAAAACTTAACAAGTTAACATGAAGATACAAAATAGTCTCTTTTTTAAAATGTATGTAGTCCTCTAAGCATTTCCTTTTTGGTTTTCACAGACCTCGGGAACATCTTGCACTATTTTGGAAGCTCCCAGACATCAGGACCTTGGGATACCCAAGACATTGTCTTTCTGCTATCAGGAAATTGAATCCACAAAACAGACAGTAGGTGCCGTAAATAAAGCTTTGCCCGAGGAAGTTTGGATTAAAGTTGGAGGTAAACCTATTTAATATGTTTTCACTTAGCTTTCCCTTGGCCTTCAAATCAAGATTTTTTTTCTGAATTTGTGTATTTTCTAGAACGAATGTGATTTTAGTGAATCCTATGAGGTCTGGGGTTTAGGTCTGAGGTGAGGTGTAGGCAGTATGGGATGAGATTTCTTCAAAATAGGTCAACACTTAGGAGTTCAGCTCTGCTTTTAAAATTGTTTAGCACTTCTAACTTGAAAGGAGAAAACCTGTGGTTGCAAAGTACCAATGAAAATCTGGGCCTAGAGTAAGCAGCTGGTTCCTTTCTACGCTTTTCAACCCAATAATTGATACAGCAGGTCCAGTCAGTATCAAACTGAAGAATGTTTAACTCATCAGAGGCAGGCATGAGCCCAGTGGGTTCTCCAAGCAAACAGGAGCTAGTTGGATTTTGAAGCAGCAAGCAGTGCCTTCGGGCTTCCAGAGGACGGGTCTTGCTGTAAGAGTTGATCGAGGCTGGCAATAAAGCTTCAAAGATTATTCCACTTAAATAAGTGACAAACTTTTTTTTCCATGATCAGTATTTTCAGTGTCTCTTGGGAGGGTTCTAAGTAGGTTCTTCTTTTCCTCTTTGTTTTTCCGAGAAGATACCGTATGCAAGCAAGAGATGAGCAGAAGTAGGCGCAGCCGAATAAGCCCATTGGATCCAAACGCAGATCGCAAACCCCTGGGGGAAATTCAAAATCTGCGTGTCGACAGCCAGAGTACCGGGCCTGCCCAGGGGCCGTGGCAGTCGGCGCAGCCTGGGTTGGCCCCGCAGGCGCAAAGCGGCGGGCAGGACGGAATCGCTCAGCGGCGGGAAAGACATAACCGCCTGGAGAGGGACAGAAGGTGATTTCCGGGAGGAGTGGCAAACACGAAGTTTTTCAAAGCCTAAAATGCCGATGCTGTAATACTCCTGTCGTTGTCCAGGGTAAAATGTAAACTTGACGTATTTTGTTTTACCTACAAGAAAAAGCAGTGCAGGTGGTAAGGGTTTGGTGTTTGTTAGAGGAAAAAAATCTGTATGTTTCATTGTTGTCGTCTGTTTTGCTTTACCCTACAAACAGTGGTGTTTGAAAACATTTCACCAATTCTGTAAAAATAAGGTATCTTGCATAGTACATGACTAATACACAAACAGAGCTTGTAGCAAAGCAAAAGTCCCCTGAGGCTGTGGCTTGTAGCTCCTGTGAGTAGTCCTCTTTTTTTTTAGTTTTGTCCTTCCTTCTTGCCCAGCAGTTGATAGCTTTTTGTGCTTGCCTGTAGGCGCAGGATCCGGGCTTGTTGCGATGAGCTGAATCTGCTGGTTCCGTTCTGCACCATCGACACCGACAAGGCGACGACTTTACAGTGGACAACTGCGTTTCTGAAGTACATTCAGGAGCAGCATGGTGATTCTCTGAAACAGGTTTTAAATCTGATTTCATTCTTGTTCTTGTTAAAAATGTGAAATGTTTTAAGCTATCATAACGTAGCCGAAGGTATATGGAATGCTTGTGCTTGATGCTGTTTGTGAAGGTCCACTGAATCACTGAACCTTCCTCTAAGTTTTTATTAATTTATTTATTTGGTTTTATAGCTGGTTCATTTCAGTAGTGCAAAACCATCGGCTGTCCTCAGTCAGGAGTTTTGAATCAGATTTTTAAATTTATTTATTTATTTATTTTTAGTTAGCCCAGTTCCTGAGCGTGACACTAACTCAACAACAATGTAGAATTAAGGTCCTCGGTTTAATTTCCCATTTGTTTTTTGGAGTTGTCTGCTCTTTAGTTTTCGTGACCTAGTAGTTAAATGCTCAGATTCACAGCTGCGTGTCCATACTATCTTGAAATGAGTAAGAGTAGTAGAGGGTTAAGGGCCCTGTAAGCAGTTCCCATGCTGCCACACCAGTAGTTGCAGCCCCAGAGTAACTCTTGCTCCACTGAGTATCTTAAGAGAGTAGCTGAGTGTGTACAGGGGGTCCTGCACATTTAGGTTCTGGGATGGCTCCTCAGCACTTCCTGCATCCCCAGATGCTAGTGAAACAAAGATACAGCTCGAGTAAATAGCTACAGTAAACATAATTGTTATTTATTTTTTGTATTTTGGTATTTTTTTAGGAATTTGAGACTGCGTTCTGTAGTAAAACAGGCAGGAGACTAAAAGTAGCAAGACCAGACTCATTTGTAATGTGTCCAGCCCAGGAAAACACGCATGGCTATGGAGAGCAAGTAGCCTGAGCTGACCGCCAGGAGTTGCGTGACAAGTGTGGCTCATAGTGGCCCAAACTGTATTGCTTTTCTCCATTTACACGCTGAATATGAATTGCAAAGTATAACTTGTGAAATACATAAATAGAGCTTTATTCAAACTGGAAATGAAAGTTAACAACCAGTAATAGAAACCAGTGCTCTGTTAACGGGGCTACAAGAAAATGTCACGACTGCAGAGTATTTTCCCCTTCAGTTAAGAAATTTGTTCTTTTTCTGTTTGTCGTTCTGCTTTGTGTTTTTTTTAAAGGATTATTCAGTACAGTTAGAAGTAGTTGTAGAACATCCGTCTGTCCTGTTATTTTAATGACTGGATGTAAACGTACTCTTCAAGTGTAAAAGGAATTTTTTAAAATACAGGATTATCTTTAATGTCTGTCACACAGCTGTCCAACAGGTTCTTGTCTTATTACTTTAGGCCAAGGGCAGCATATTGTACACAGATTATTTAAATGCACAAACTATTTTCATATTTAAAGCTAAATATGCTTCTTTTGTTCATAGGCTTTAGCATATAGGGCAGAAATAGAAAAGTGTGTGAGCTGAAAGTGGGTTTATTATTGTTTTTTAATAGATGATGCTAGCAGGTTTTAAAGTACAAACAGGTCTCCCAGGATAAATACTGTTTTAAATCACGGATATGGACAATTTTGCAGCAATTTATTTCCAAAGAAGCCTAGTAAAACCAGTTCTGGAAAATTGGAGATGAGCTGAGTTAAACTGATGTATATAATGACACTTACAACATCACAAAGAAAAAGTTAAAAAAAAATCTCTCTTTATTTTTACAACAGTTCGTACAGGTGGTTTTGGCTGGACTTTTAAAGAGCATCCTTTCTCATTTGGGGTTTCGTTCACAATTACTGTGCAAATAGCTTAAGTAGAAGGTGTAAAAATGCTGTTATTTAATTTCATTTATTATCATATGGAAATACTCAAAAAATCTCCCCTGCAATTTAAAATACGTACATTACACCTTCTGCAGGATTTGATTGCAAGAGGATTCCTCGTCTTTGCAAATGTTTGAGGTGCAATCTGACGATTAACGACTGACAGCTGACACGTAAGCGATGGTCTTTGCTTAGGCCAGAAGCTTAAGACTTAATTTCCACTGATTTCCACTGCTGGAAAGAGCAGTTAAGTGCCTCAATGCCATAACAACCGGTATTTTAATGCATGAACCTGCACTAAAATCAGTGGGAGGAGCATCGAGGAATTTAATCTACAAGGCTCAAACATTTGTACAGAAAAGTCGTGATCTTTAGCACATAGAGGGGATGAAGGTAAAAAGGAACAATGCTTCCTCTTGCAGGTCTCTCGAATGGGTGAAAAGGAAGGTGAGGTTGTTTAGCAGTAAAAATTCTGGAAAACAATTGAGGGGAGGAGAAAACACTCATAAAAAGCATCTTCTAATTTAAGTTTTCATCTGATGCTTTCTTTTTTTCATAGAACTGTGTCAAAGTCTCCACTTAATATAATAGAAGGAACATTGTCCATTTATCACTAGGAGGATTCTGTCTGTTTTCTTACAATGCACTGTTTATTTAAATATTCAGTCACTTCTCCACTTCTTGTACTGTTGGTTTATGATTTTTTGGAAGTTGCTGCTCCAACAGCTCCCATGCAAGCCGACGTGTCACAGATTCCTGGAGTTCCCTGAGCCCCAATAGCACCAGGAGTACCAGGATCCCCTGGCAGACCAGGTTCACCCTGCGCACCGTCACGACCGTTTTTAGTAATCCCAGGTACACCAGGTGGTCCTAAACAAGAAGGGGAAAAAACATTACATGAATATTTCTCTCATTTTAAATATATATTTACACATGTGTTACTTTTAGAGTTCTTAATGTTTTGAGTGTCTGTACATCAGATTTGTTAGGGCCTGTTGAGTCCAAGATGTTGAATAAATTTAGCCTGAATCTGGAAGATGTGCGTTGGATTTTTTAGAGTCCCTCTGGCTTTACTGGAAACACCTCGGTGTGGCTGGAGGCGGATGTTTAACGTTGTGCTTTCCTGCTCACGTGTGTCTGTTTTGCCTCCAGCTGACCACTGCCGAGCTGGCTTCCATCGTGGTCCTGCCTCCGTGTACGACTTCATGAATAATAACAATTAATTAGTAACCAGAATTACTTTCTGTCATCCCTGAATAGTTTGCTCAAGGGATGTCCTGGATGTGTGAGCTCACAGCTTGTTGTGACGATCAGAGTGCTCACAACTCCCTCCTTCCTGACCCCAGCTTTGCTCCTTCGCGGGAGGCTGTGGCCTTCAGGTGTACCTCCCAAAATCTTGCTGGAATTAAGATTCTGAGTAATGGAAGGAGAGGGTGACGATACAGAGCATCTTCCTGACATTAGGAGCTTCCTTTATACCTGTGTCTAATCTCAAAAATTCGCTCACGCTGAAATCCATCGCCAAAAGTAATTCACAAAGCCCCGATTCCTGGAACAGCAAAGCTACGGAACCTTTCTGAACTGCTGTGCTGTGTGTGACTGGGTGTCCCTGAGGGACAGCTCGATCGGGTGCTTTATAAACCTCATCGAGAGATGGTGCCCCATTGTTTTTATTCATGGAAGTGATGACTTGCATCTGCTGTTCATCTCCTCACATGTCATGAGTAGGACAAATGCTCTCAATATCTAATACATGGAATAGTCTCTTTTCACATGCTTTGGAACAGAAACCATTTACAGATTAATGCAATTGTTCTATAGAAGAATCTAAGACAACAGGGTGTAAATATGCTGGTTTTATGAAATTATATGGGTGTGGAGTCTGCTTTTGGGGCATGGTGCTTATTCATTGTACAGATGTAACCACTATTAGAAAAACTGCTTGAACAGAGGAGCAAAATAAAGAATATTTTTCCAAGTTTCTAAGAGGTATTAATTTACATAAATTAAATCCTTTGATAAAAGATTCGTGACTTCAGGAACTGAGATTATAGCTGGGTACAGAGCAGTAACGCCACTAGCTCTCAAAATCATCACGCTAGGAAGTTGTGTTGGTGTCTGGTAAAATTAACTATTAGCTCCCATTTCTCTGTTTGATCCAGAGCCACGAACTGAATTTGGGAGGACTAGAGCTGGTAGGCCAGGCTGTGGCTTTCGCTGTGGGCATTCTTTAAGTACGGGAGTATGAAAAGACACGTCCCGTCAGGAAACAGTCAGCAGGCATGATCCTTTTGCCTTGATCTGAGCCTCACGGGTATTACACACCTTTAAATGAACCCATATGCTACTCGTTAATTAACTAGTTAGTTACTGCAGAGGAAGCACCACTGAAAAGAAAAACCTTCTGACACAGGCAACCAGGTGGGAGTAGTTGAGACAGGTTCTCACTTCTCCATCTATGAAAGCTCCAGACTATTTGCAGCCACTTGTAAAAGACACCAAGAACAAATGCAGAGTCTGGCTGTCCCAGCAGCCTTTTCTCCAACACGTTCTTCAAAACATTTAGGACTGGGGAGGAGTGGTGTGAAGAGGGGATGTGCTAATTAAGTTCTAATCCTCAAACTGTCTGTACCTGTCTTACCCACAGGAAAACCACCCCACAGTAACGCTTACAGCACAGAGTGACGATAACGTACAGCCAAGCATAAGCCTGTAGTCCTGGTTTATCGAATTATTTGCACAGCCTTACCTTGAAGTCCTTGATCGCCATCAGGCCCATCAATGCCTTGACCAGCAGGTCCTTTATCTCCCTTTTCGCCGGTGTCACCTTTAATCACAAACAGACAATTTCAACAACGAGTTGTGTACCGCAGCTGGCTCCAGAGACAGGAAGGGCAGAGAACGAAAAGCTCAAAATCCTCAGGACGCTGCCAGGGGCTTTGCTTACGCTGCGTGCCTAGAGACACAAAACTGCTCTCTAGATCTCCGCCTGCTGCCCAGGGCCTCACCTTTCCTCCTCTGCTGCTGAAATTAGCACGAGTTTGCAACTTATTTCAACAGGCATAAAAGAGAAGGAGGTTGGTTGAGTATTACTTACCTCTGGGACCAGGATCACCAAGTTCTCCTGTCGGCCCCCTGTACCCAGGGGGACCACGAGGACCAGGATGCCCAACGCTTCCTGGAGCTCCAGGAGGCCCCGGGGGACCAGCGGGGCCAGGACGACCCGTCATTCCAGGAGACAAGGGCTTTCTCAGGTTAGCCGCCAACTGCGCGATTTGATCTGAAAAGGACAATTAAAAACTTTACGTCGGACGCGTTCGCTCTTTGCTTGGCTGCTTGGTGTCTGCCACCAAGTGTGCTCAGCTGAGCGAGGAGCTGAGAACTGTCTGACACTGCAGCAGAGCTGCCTGTTTGGGCACATCTCGCTCTCTGCCACTCCTGTGCGCTTAGAAGGAAATGTTGAATCTGTCCTCTCAGCTCAGCTGGGTGCTTCTGTTCGCGTTTTCTATTTTACTGCTCAGAAATCTGCAGGTTTTCAAGCCATTGACACATCCTTTGTCCTAAACCACTTGAAAAGACACCAAATATTTTAGCAAACACTACTTAAATAATTGGAACAAGTTTTCTGAAAGAAGCTTTCGGAGTTTAACTTCATCCCAAAGGGCGAGCGTAACCCCTGAAGCAGGTGCAGGTAAGGTGCTTTCTGCACACTTTGTATGCTGCCATGACAAGTCGTTTAAAAATACCAATTTTAGAAAAATGAAGGACATCCCAGACAGCAAGGTCACCTCCTCAATTATTTCCTTACATTAAAGGTCAATGTAGCTTTTCTTATTAAGACAGAAACATAACAAGTCTCAGGAACTGTATTATGTTCAGGATCTACTCACCTTTGGCTAAACATGGTAATTAAAGTCAGTTTTCTCTCAGTAACACTCACCATTTATCATTTCCCCACAAAGTTCTCTTATGTGTTGTTCACTGGCCTCTTTGCCCTGCAATTAACAGAAGAATCTGTCTTCATACAAGCCACGTCATCGATAATCATCTCTAGCAGCAGCTTCAGGACATGAAACTCAG